ATGCAATAAATAAGATTTAGCGCACACAATACTCTATGTTTGTAAAATGCTATAAAATCTATAGTATTATAAGTTACTGTCTCTGCGGTAAGGCCTATGAAGTCATTTTTGCACATTCTTTTTTTCTCCCCAAGAGAGAGAAAAACAATTAATCTAGCAGAGATGAACAACAGAATATTGCTCTGATACTTTTGAATGTTGTTTAATCGATGATACAATACCATTGAAAACAGAATTCCTGGGAATTTATTTCATGCATTTTATGTATTCTAGGTATGCACAGAAGGACGTCTTATCTTGGAGTTTACTTTTGATGATCTTATGAGAATAAAAACATGGCACTTTACTATTAGACAGTACAGAGAATTAGTCCCACGCAGCATTCTAGCCATGCATGTAAGTAATCCTTTTTTCACTTGACCTAATGCAAAGAGATGAGATTATGTTTATGAAGAACTCCAGCAAATTTCACACCCAAGGCAATTAACTATAAATATTTTGTTTCGCCTGCAACTATGTCCATTTACAAGTTCTTTCATCACTCCCTTGTTTCTCAGCGCTCTATTGTTGCTACTGTTGCTATGTTTTCATTTTGTTTTAGTACATAATTTTCCTTTTAATCCCATTTGGTGGTGTGTATGATTTGGGCCCAAAATCTGATTTTATTGATATGAAATAAAGTCAGTGATTTTTTTGTCATTGTAGGTACAAATTATATTTAGTCTTTAAATGAAGCAAACTAATGTTACCCTTGTGTGAGACAGAAAATAAGTCATTACTGTATATTTACTTAGAAACCTTTAGAATTTTAATCCAGATTTTTGTTACATATTTTGAGACTTTCGTAACTTAATGAAAACACACACAATAGCACATTAAAATACTAACTGTTCTGCAGGTTGAAGTGAAAATATTGTAAAGTATATTGTTGCAGAGAAACAAAGGACAGAGACTTATTGCCCCTTTCAGTTCTGCACTGTAGAAGCATTCTGAGCAGTAGTGCTCCATATACAAAATTGATTGCAGGACTCTGGTTTTATAGAGGGTAAGAACACAAGCCTGAATATGTGCCTGTATTTTGACATTGAATTACTTAGATATCCATAGATAAAGATATATGCTTAGTGAGGAATTTGAAGTAACTTAAGAAGCCTGGACTTTTTTGAAAATGCTGTTACAGGCCTGAAGAAGATACCTTTGAAAACCTGCCCCCTTGCTTCTGTCCCAAGGTTATCTTTTATTTTAGAGGGCTGATCTTCTGAACTCTTCAACAGTATCCCATTAAGGGACAACGAGAATGGCCATGAGCAACATCATGTATTTAGGGGGCTGCTGCAATTCAAAGAGAGTGGAAGCAGGTTAGCCAGCAACCAGCAGGTATTAATTTTAGTAATGAGATTGATCTCATTTTAAAGAGGAAGCTGGTCTCACAGGTAAAGCTTCTGGCTAGGGTCAGAGAAAGACTGTTCTTGCATTTTTCCCATTTAATTCTGGGGAAAATAACTTATACCAGAAGGTTTCTCTAGCCTGTGCTTAATGTCACTTACGTGATCAGCTCTGCTGAAGGTGCGTTGATGAGTTCTCTCTGCTTCAGTTTCTTAGCCCCAAAAAGAAAGTGATACCTTCTTTATTCCTGCCCTTATCTGCTTAGTCTCCTGGGACTCCCAGCCAGCAAATGGAAGGCTCAATGTGTCCTGTGATCTCTTGGGAAGCTCTTTGGTGGAGTCTTGCTCACTTGCACCCCCATGCATGACTAGACCTCCTAGGTCTATCTTTTGAATGGACAGGGACAGAAGGAAAATAAAGGAAATCTTTATTCTGCTCCAATTTCATAACGTTTTACATTTTGCTATGGAAACAGAACTCTATAGCTTATTACATGAATTTAGCATCAATGTGTAATTTTTCCACAGGAGTGGCACATCTCTTCGGAAAACCCTCCCTGCTCTCCACCAAGTGCAAAGAGAAAAACAAATAGACAAAAAGCGAAGTGAAAATTCTTTTTTTCTCTCTTGTTTAGGCACAAGACCCTCAGGTGCTGGAGCAGCTGTCCAAAAACATCACTCGAATGGGTCTGACAAACTTCACCCTCAACTACCTCAGGGTAAGCATACTATAGCTGATGATTATTGTGAGCATTTTTTAGAAGTTACTGTTAGCTTTGAGTCAGGGTAATGAGAGCAGGGCCTGTGTTGGTCAGGTAAGAAATGGACCTAACCCTTAATGAGGGTGAAGGAGAAACACAGAGACTACAATAAAGATGTAGCCGCTAACAATGCACTGTGAAAAAGGATAAGAATTCTATCGTGGAGTCGAAGCAATGTGTGAGTAGCCTCTGTTTTTAACAGTCCTTTTTTCTCAGCTTTTAATAATGACTTTATTTTTTGTAAGCAAGAAGTTCCCCACCATTTTTCCTCTCTGCTTCGCTGTTCCTGAGAAAATGGCAGCTCATTTTTATTAAAAGCTGCCCATCTTCTCCAGCCCTTCCAGCTCCCCACCTCTCCCAGGCAGAGGCAGGGCTGAGAGAGCACTCAGTTCCAGCCCTTTCTGCAGCAGTCAGTCCCTCAAAGCAGTCCTCGCTTCACTTGCCTCTGGGGCCCTGAGCTCCCTCCTCAGCCTTGCACTGCATCGAGTGTGTTTTTTATGATTAAATAATGCATTTGTTCCCATTGCTTTTTGACCCTTAAAGTGCATTCAAAGTTTGAAAGTTTATTTTTATTTTTGAAAGTATTCCCTGGTGTGGGCTTACAATGCATACATCGAAATACAGATTTGTAGAGTTCATATTTCAGGGTTTAAATTCAGATTTTTTTTCTTATTTCTAGACATGCTATTAGTAGATAAAATGAACCAAAATGCTTAATGATATACCGACCTACCTTGGCCAAGAATATCTTATTTTATTTCTTTTAATTGTGTGAGTAATTATTCAAGATGCTTTTTTAAGATAACAAGAACACTAGAAAACATAGTTATTTTCAGCCAAATGTAGAGCTGTACCTGACAATCTATATTTTAGCTGCACTTCATTTAGGTCTATGAACCTTGTAACACCTTCTCTATGGATGGAGTCCTACCCCCAGAGTGCTTTGAGCTCCAAAGGGGACATTGTGCAGGACTGAGATGTGTGGTGAGATCTCTCACCTGTGTCCCTACTGCTTATAGACAGTTTGCAGTTGTCCTTACTCTCCCAATATGCTAAACCATTGCCGATTGTTGCTTATGTGGTATTAGCATAAAAGTTACTGTTGACACTATAGTCTGAGACAGGTCTGCTGTCCTGTAACTGGAAGAATACGACCTAAAACCTCAGAGGAATAATTCACTGCATTACAATTTTTCCATTTATAAATTCATGGATAATAGGTCTATGTTGTGCGAACTGTATTCTCATGGTTAGTTTAGTTTGTGGTTTGGTACAGAGAGTGACCATTGCACTTTGGCAAAATCCCTATAGCCACGCTGTTGTTGTCTCATGGTGAGGGATCTCAGAGCATGTTCTCCAGAAATCCTCACTGGGAATTCCTCCTCAGTCACGCCAAGTTTTGCATTACACCCTCATGGCAAACTGGGCAGCAGGCCGCTGTCTTAGGTGGGCTATTTCCATGTTTTCTATCCAAATTGTCCAGTGGCACAAGGCATTGCCCTGCTTTTGAGGTCTTTGATCCCCTTAGCACAACTGGACACACCAGCGAGCACCTGGGCTGGCGCACGCTGGCCGCAGTGCTCGGTCCCCAGCCTCCATGAGTCTCAGAGGACCATGCTGGGTTTGCAGCACGGTCCCTATCATTGACCTCTTCTGGGTCCTTTGTGGCATATTCTGTGATTGCTGAATGTGACAATGCAAATGATAAAGGCAGGGTCCCTGTTATGATGCGGCTGGCACCAGGCACCCATGCTGCTCCCTCCATCAGCATCAATAACAGAGAAAGAAAGGAAGGGGGGAAGGGAGAAAAAAGTCCCCAGAAAAAGAAAACTGGGATCAAGATAAGCACTGGGTAGATGAGCAGTGAAGTGGAAGGGGATGAAAAGATGAAGTCTTACTTTTTCTCTTCTTCCAGACTAGTTTTGTTAGCTTAACAGACAACATTAGGTCTCTAGGTGCAAAGCTTCCTCTGGCTCCCGCTGTGGTGATTCCAAATGGAAATCTTCCCCCCGCCCCCCCCCAGCCTATCTTCGCATGTCCCTTTCTGGTAGTGAGAAATTGATCACTCTCTTTTTTTCAGATGTTCAACTCATCATGGGAGCTCATGATTATATATTTCCATTTTTATTTACTTCTTTCCTCGATTACTTTCTTCTCTTAATTTTAACATTAAAATCTTTTCTGAACTCAGGATTGTAAAATCATACACTAAAAAAATGTGGTAAATACATTTAGGTTTAAGGTGTTTTGTGATTGGCTTTTGTTTTGTTTTTTAAGTCAGCATTTTATGATATTTTATTCAGTCTTCTCAGTGTTTCGTAATTAGCACTGTTACATGGTTTTGAATAAGGATTTGAAACTAAGCATAAAAATGATTTTCGTTTTTTTTCTGCTGCACACAGCAAAGGCTTGTGATACTCATAAGTGAAAACTTCACTGATGGGCAAAATTAATCATTTTTATTCTCCAACGTGCACACAGCAGCAAGCTGTGCTGCAGTCTCTTTAAAGGCAGAATTAAAACCTAGATTTCAGATGGTTGTGATGCAAAGGTATAGCCTGTGTTTTTCATACTCTAGACATCACAGAGTGCTAAATCATTGCTAGTTGGGGTAATTGCAGTTTCTGGCATGTAAACCTCTGTTCCAGAGTGCCACATGCCTGTAGAGCCACAGCTTTGTCTGCACACCCCGGTTTGTCTTCATTCACTCCCAGTAAAGCTGTCCAGCATAGAGGAACATTGAGTTTGTAAATCATATTTAATACAAATTTAAAATATATCTTCTTGGAACCTGGCAATTAAATGTTTTGTCCTGTGTTATTTACCAAATGCTCTTTCTCTCTGTTTTCTCTAGCTCTGTATAAAACCATAGGCTTCCCTTCTTTCCAGTTCCTACTTTGTTTTGTCCCGGCATAATTGATTACCCCATCAGTGGGGTCAGCGTACTTTGCTGTAGCTGCTGACTAGGAGTTGAATAGGCTGTCTTGGTAATAATGAGCAAAACCTTGTAGGTTTAAAATTAATATCAAGCTTTTTAAAATGTAATTTCTCATCAAGTCATCAAGTAGCAGATATTACAAACTATCAGATAATAAGGTCGAGACCTATATCCTAGTCTCAGTCTGTACAAGTCAAACAAGACAAACAGGAATCCTGTACAGAGCTTGAAGATGGAGATAACACTGAAGAATAGTTTCCTTCAAGCTACAGTATTTTAGTCCCCACACATTACCTTAATTTTTTCGATGTAGTTTTCTAATTGCTCAGCTATTTTATTTAGAACTTCAATGCAAAATGGATTTGAATGCACTCTAAAAACAGTAGCTTTAAACCAGCAGCACTATTCACACTTTGGGGCTCAAATGTTTCTTGCTGCCTTCCATGAAATGATTTATTCTCTCAAAATTTCTGGCATTATAAAAAAGCCAGCCCCTGCTGTCAATTAGGCAGGACTACCTGGCCTGAGACTTGAAATATAGCTGTATCTTGGCCAGCTGGTTTTCAAAATTTGTCTCTGCTTTCATGCACTGGCTGGGTTGGAGTGATTTCTTGGAGCTCTTCACCAGGTGCAAGTACTGCATCCTCCCCACGCTGTGACCTGCTCTGGTAGCCACTTTATTGGTGTTAATGGAGCTGAATCTGCATCCGCCCTTTGCAAAGGGAGAGTTACCGCAGCAGAGCCCACCCAGGAGAGGCATCTAGGCAGGGGAATGCGCGCTCCTGTATGGCTATATTGACCAAGGTTTATCTGAGCTACAAATTCTCCAATTTGTTTATTTGGGGTTTTTTTTCTGTATAAACCAATAATGCAGTGTTACTATTGCAAGACAGGACAATATTTTCTGAATCCCCACTTCCACTAATTTAGTTCCTCACTAGACCCTTTCTGATTTCTTCTGCTAGGAGAACAACATGAATAATTTAATGGGTCACAATTTTCTAAAGGCAATACTTACATTGCAATCAAAGACCATTTGTATGTGTACCCATTGTGTATGCAAAATTTTCTTTAGCGCATGCAAAATAGACCCCATGCAACAGCTTCCTTTAGTGTGCAGGGAAATTTGCTTTTCTAAATATGGTTTCATGCATGGAAATGATATGAGCTCAAATCATTTGGAAACTCATTTGCTCCTAATATGTAACAGTTTGTGGTACTTATCTGGTCAGCATTTTACAGCTGTTTGTGCCTCTTCAATGAAGGAGGAAGATTACATGCAAACGTGTTAAGGATGGAAAGTCAGGTTCTCAGGGGAAAAGAAATGCTATATTTATAGTTGTCCATGCAACAGGACTTTTTTTTCCTTTTGTGAATTACACATCATCTTCTAACTCCATCATTACGCACTGTGTTTCCCACAGCATCCTTGACACGCGCAGGGCATGGGATGACTCGGCCTCACTCAGTAGCAAGTGCTCCGGCGCTACACATTTCCTCATAGGCTTTTCTGCAGCATCGTTCCAGTATCTCAAGTGCACGTGGTGGTTGTTGCAGGGCCCCTACCAACTGAAGAGGCTTTGTCATTCCCAGTGTGCACATGTGGCATTGACGCACATGGATGAGCACCAGGGCACTCAGAGGGGTCAACTAATGGGAGGTGGCCATTCTGATTTTGCAGATCACTTGGAATTTAATCTTCTAGTATGTACTAATAACAAAAGCATTGCTGTTGGCTAGTGATATAGTTGAATAAGGAACAGACGGTGCTTCTCAGGACACACTGGTAAAAAAGCTTTTTCCTTGACTTAGTACCACAGTAGAGCTCGAGGGCAGGGGCAGTTTGTTGGAGCAGCATTGGGTTACTCTAAGCTCATCCTTTCTTGTTCTGCAGTTCCCTGCTTCACCCCGCTGCCAGATTTCCATGTCTTTAGTAGGTAAAAGTGAAACCCTACCCACAGCAACTTCATCTGTGCTGTGCACTGAATGGGGAATACTAGGGAAATGGAGTATGTGATCA